ATAGTATTTATTATAGTTTGAGTGGATAAAAATTATTTTACAAAATTAGGGGCAAATTTGCCCCTAATTTACATACGAACTAAGAGATACGTAGTTTACAATAAATTGAATACTGTGGAAATTAAGATAAAAAAAATTCTAAAAGAAAAAATTTGATATTGTCAAGTCTTATGTAACACGTGCATTTTCATATTCCTTTTATTATAAAATTATATCGTCTGTCATGAGTGTCTCTTACATCATTTTATACATGTGAAAATGAGATGGCATAAATGGTCACGGATCACATCAAATAATATTAATATACTACACTAAATGATGAATTTTAGTCAGCCATTACTATTATGGCTCTAAATTTATATCCATTTCAGATGCAAACTACCCCAACATTAATCAAACTGTGGTCACCAAAATAGCAAGGTTTGTAACAGAATTTTTTACTATCTCATAGTAGAATTACAATAATTCTAATATAATTTCAATGCAAGCAAACTTAACCACGCCAAAATTGTAAGAAAGCTATGTAAAAAATTTTTATAGTAACTCATAAAAATTAGCACCCGGAAAATGTGTACCAGGTTGGTACTCCGGAAATCATGTGCATGCCCGGAATCCCATGTTAATATGTACAATATTAATTTTATTTTTTCGAAATACACCTATTTTTTTACAAATTAAAAACTTATTGTTTGTTACAAGCAATTACAATATTTTTTTCTTTTAATAGGGTGCCTCCAGCACTCTTTAAGCAATTACATTTTATAATTTATATATATAAAAAAAATTTTTTTTTTGTTTGCGATTAAATCTATTTATTTAATTTGGCTTGTTGCCTGAAATATTTTTCTTCAGACTATGTGGCTTCGCTGTAGCTTTTCTTTTTTTCTGTGCTTTCATTTCAGAGGGATCAATGTTTTCTTTTCGTTTTTTTCGTTGAATTGATGCTGGCTGCACTTTAATTTTTACTCCACTTCTAAGTGATTCTGAATGTGATGAGAATTTCTATTGATAAAGAAAAGAAATCAACTTTCTTTTTGATAAAGATTTTGTCTTTTCGTATCATTTTTTAAAATATTTGATACCAGTGAGAAGTTGGTTGTCATTTTTAATATTTTTTAAAAAGTCTTGAAAAAAGTTTTCAATTGATTCAATTCGCTTCTCTAAGTTCTTTTTATTATCAGAATCGCTTATAAAAAATTATTAATATATATATTTAATAAATACTTAATAGGCATTCTAATATTAATAATTTATTAATTATTAATTACCTAACAGCAACAATATCTTCTACAACAAGTTCATTAAGAGATAGATTTTTATCTTGGTAATTTATTTCTTGGTTTGAATTAATTGTTGCTAAATCATTAGATGTTATTGAAGATGAACGTAAAGAGGCATAAAATGATGGATCTTTTGTAGATGTATCTTTAAAAAAAATGATTTTTATTTATTATTAAATTTATTTATTAAATATAATTAATTTACAATATAACTTACCACATGCAATATATCGATAAAATGCACAATATTAAGAGAAAGTGCAGGAATAAAATTAAAAAACTCTATATGGTATTTAATAGCAACTGCTACTTGATATTTGTACAGAGATCCTCCGAGAGCAGCAATACAAGTGCAGGTTCTAATAGATATATCAACATCATAAAACTTGTCATTCACTGTTGTGCTAGGCACAATATAGATATTATATGTTTCATTATACCAAATTTTTGGTAAATCAACAAGTTTCCATCTGGGACAAAGAAACCGTTTAGATATTTCTAAATGGCCTGGATATTGATTTGCAATGGCTAATATACGTCGCTCATAAAATCATTCCATATTTGTTATAACAAATTGGAAAATTTGAACAATATTGTATGCCTGTGTTCATACAAATATTATGTCTTTTAGAAGTTCAAAGACACGCTCAACATAGTTGTTTGTGTAATTTCTATACAACAATAAATTTTGTCAATATGATAGTGCCCAAAAGGCACATCGCTTTCAGAGACGAGTATAATGCACTTCAAACTGATTATATTTTGCAAAAAATAGTTCTTTAAATTTTATATGTAAAGTTTTCATTTCAGATATAGCTGATGCATATAAAATCTTTTTAAATAATATTATAATATTTCAGTCAGAGAATATACCAAATTTGGGTAATGCAGATCGCACCTTTAATAGTAATAGGTATATCGATCACATGATTCTAGAAATATCTAACGTGACATAATGAACTTATACCAGTATACGTATTACTTGTATTCAAAAT